TGTAACAATGTTGTTGAAAACAGGCCTGAACAATATTTTGCTGCCCATATTGTTCCTGCTGAACAATATTGTTAACAACCAGGAACAACATGGGCAGCAAAATATTATTCAGGCCTGTTTTCAACAACATTGTTACAGGCTAGGCGTTTTTTGCTGTGTACATAACCACTAACATGCTGTATGTTTCACTTTGTCGATATTTTTCTCTCTCATTACGAAATTCGTAATTTTAGCTTCGGAAACTGAAAAATTTTGACAATTCTGATATTTTCCCGTCTTAATAGGATACCCCGAAGAAAGCTGGGGCAGCAAGTTACTCTGGCTCAAAGTATTCTCAAGTACGTAACCAAATACTTCATGTTAGTCTGCATATTTGTTAAACTCAATTTTTTTAAAAGTTTGTTACGGTAGTTTTTATTTTTGAAAGTTGTTTACGACCATATACTGTAAGCAAAACTCGTTTCTGTTTGTTTGTTTGTTTGTTTGTTTGTTTGTTCGCGCTACGAACGCGTGCTACAGTAGTCCTACAAACGTTTCATGTGATTGAGGTTTGAATTCAAAATTCCATTAATTTCTGAAACCGGGATCATATACCCAGGTCCCACAACTACAAAACGGCCAGAGGCTGTAGTTGTTATATCGTGCGCAGTGTTCGGATTGAATATTCGTGCGTGAAACTGAATGTTATCCGAATGTACGCAGAATTATTGATTACGTCATTTGAAAAGATGTAAAACGATGTGATTGTGAAGTGGCCTTAGTTTATCTCTTGTTGTAAACGTTTCCTATGGGTATATGCGTTCACTAAGTTGAAATATTTAAGAAGGCAAAAGAGATCTTAGACGTCAGTTCCTGTCTCTTTCTATTGTTTTTGCGCGGTTAACACGAAGCTGGCAAGGAGTGTGCCGAAATTTCGTATTTTGACGTCGATTTAAAGAATAACACTATAGTTTTATCAATTGATAACTTGTTTAGCGATACGGTCCGTTAGAAAAAACTAGACTGAGCTGGGAAAATGGTATTAAAATTCCACCAACACAGAAAAAATCAAGGTATTAAAACTGTTTACGAGCTACGACCTTCATAGATATTGGACGTCAATTTCCGCCATCTTGGCTTCACTTTTCTCATTGACCGAATGATTCAAGCTGGAGTAATACGAGCAACAAAATTGCTGCAACTTGCAACAAAATCTGATTTCAACGCATGTTAAGTAGAAATATTGAAACATGTTGTCTCGCGATTTGTAATTTATGTTAGACATTTTCAATGGACCATTTGCATTTTGATCTAGACAAAAATTTCATCACATCTTGAAAGAGCATCACAAAATTAGTAATATTCCAAAGTTTCGTTGCGAAATGTTGTAAAATACGGATAATATAGCCATGCGAAGTTTGCAATTTTCAGTCATTTTGTATTACAAACGGGAAATTGATGCCCCAACACCCGGTTGGGCTGTCAATTTCCCGTGCGCAATACAAAATGACTGAAAAACGGCAAATTTCGCATGGCTATATTATCCGCATTTTACAACATTTCGTAACGAAACTTTGGAATGTTACTAATTTTGTGATACTCTTTCAAGCTGTGATGAAATTTTTGTCTAGATCAAAATTTAGTCTATAATGCAAATGGTCCATTAACATGCATAGAAATCAGATTTTGTTGCAAGTTGCAGCAATTTTGTTGCCGGTATTACTCCACCTTCAAGTTCTTGCTCCAGATATATAGAGAGCTCACACTGATTCCCGCTTGATAATGACGACATTTTCTTTAGGCTGCTCCGATGTTCTGCGACATGATGGATGAAAATAGTGTGGATTATGTGAAGAAGTTTCGTGATTTGGCGAAGAAAATGGGAAATGATCAAGAATCCAGTTCTTCAGATAATGTTGACTGTGGACCTTCAATTAGTTTTAAATCACTTCTATCAGAAGCTTCGAAGTAAGTCTGCGTTTTCCATCTTCAGATAATGTTGACTGTGGGCTTTCAATTAGTTTTAAATCACTTCTATCAGAAGCTTCGAAGTAAGTCTGCGTTTTCCATCTTCAGATAATGTTGACTGTGGACTTTCAATTAGTTTTAAATCACTTCTATCAGAAGCTTCGAAGTAAGTCTGCGTTTTCCATCTTCAGATAATGTTGACTGTGCGGACTTTCAATTAGTTTTAAATCACTTCTATCAGAAGCTTCGAAGTAAGTCTGCGTTTTCCATCTTCAGATAATGTTGACTGTGGACCTTCAATTAGTTTTAAATCACTTCTATCAGAAGCTTCGAAGTAAGTCTACGTTTTCCATCTTCAGATAACGTTGACTGTGCGCGGCTTTCAATTAGTTTTAAATCACTTCTATCAGAAGCTTCGAAGTAAGTCTGCGTTTTCCATCTTCAGATAACGTTGACTGTGCGCGGCTTTCAATTAGTTTTAAATCACTTCTATCAGAAGCTTCGAAGTAAGTCTGCGTTTTCCATCTTCAGATAACGTTGACTGTGCGCGGCTTTCAATTAGTTTTAAATCACTTCTATCAGAAGCTTCGAAGTAAGTCTGCGTTTTCCATATTCAGATAACGTTGACTGTGCGCGGCTTTCAATTAGTTTTAAATCACTTCTATCAGAAGCTTCGAAGTAAGTCCGCGTTTTCCGCACATAAGATCCGAGGAATAGACCGGGAAACCAATTTATATACGATGACCCACTGGACAACGCAAGTCGTTGGCGAGCCAATTAATTTTATTAAAAACATCATTTGCATTGCGAATTGTAAAAATTGTCCCTTGGGACGTCGCATTAAGTGTTTTTCTGCGTTTGACGTCATTATAAGAAAGGTGTATTCGAAACCACGCTCGCACGATGTTCCCTTTGACACAACACACGTGGATGCGGATGAATGTGAATTCCTGTTGTCGCATTTTAACATCTCACCTTATGCAGTGCCCCAAAGTTGTGTGTCGATACCAAAGTGGTCAATTATCCGGACTCCGTTTCTCGTGGAGTACGCGTGACACTACACCTACCCGTAGACTAAAATATTACTGTTCATACTGGATGTTGACGTCTTTGTATCCCGCACTCCTCCGTACAATATTGGTTTTCACATTGCCTTTCACAACTTAGAAGCTTTCAACATAGAAAGGCGTGAGGGTGTAGCTGGAAATTGCTGCTCGGCAAAACATGAATTCTTATTTACGCACGCACTGTCCACATAATTTTTGCCAGGATTGTAGCTTTTGTTACCTTGTTTATAAGAACGGTTTGTATGGTTCCCATTATAATTATTGCTCTTCGTATTTAGAGAACTCTGTTGTCACAGTGTAAAATTAGTTGTAATTAATGTGTGGAGTTTGTCTTGTTGGGACTTCGAGTCTGTTTGCCAATCCCTTATCTAACTCGCCTTGTGCTGTTTGTAATGTCTTTTGTTTTTACGTAGTTTTGTAAATTTTAGTGAGTTCGATTAAAGCTTATTATTATTATTATTATTATTATTTCAGCGATTAAATTGGGAAATGATTGGACATAATGTTGATCTCCAAATGCCAGACATTGTAAGATATATTTAACTTATATATAATACTTATATGACTACTCATTCGGTTCTGTTTTCTCCACATGTTTGGGACTTTGGGTTTTGTTTGTAAATAAAATAATATCAGAGTTAAGACATATATATTATAAAATGGAGATAATTAAAGTTTTAGAGAGTAATAACTGGTTGACTTCTAATGTAGTGAGGCATCTGAAGACAAAACTAAAACAGCTTGTTGAAAACATAATACATATAGCAAAGCTACTAAAGCGTGGTTTCCGTATATCGCAATTACTCGGCGATGTTCTCATGGTCCATTGTCGGTGATCAATAGACCTTATGCATAATAATGTCACAAGTCTTGCAGGCACGGATTCCCCCCCCCCCCCAGAGGCATTTGGCACCGCCCCCCAAAGTTTTTGCACCCCCACAAATTATATATATTTTGATTTGATAGTTTCATATTTGATTATTCTTACTACTAAATTTGTAAAATTACCAATATTATGGTCTCAGATCTCACCATGCAGGCCTAGAAAACAAATTTTGTTCAACTTTTTCCTTGGCCTTTCCGGGCGTTGCCACCACGCCCCGGCCAAAGCAAGCAGCAGCATCCTCAGATATTTATCCCCCCCCCCCGAACGAAAATATGAAAATCCGTCTCTGGCTTGATGAAATTAAACGATTCAAAATGGTCACTATCGAAATTTTCCCGGGCGATGACTATTAAGACCAGCATTCCTCGCGGGCATCAAGCCTTGTGACGTCATTATGCATAAGGTCTATTAAGAAGAAAATCCTTCCCGACAGACAAAGAATTTTATACACCAATGACAATGGAGGTAGTTGAGCATCGTCGATGACAACTAGTTGAGCATCGTCGATGAATCATCAAAGTGACAAATATTAATCATAAATACTGCAACATTACAATAGTCGAGCAAAACTATAGTGGGTGTATAGAAATATTTTGGGCTTCTTTGCCTTATAACCAGGCCTGGTTCAAGATGGCGGCCTTCAGCCACTGGTCTGAAAACATGGCCAGGATGGTGCACTACTGTGCATAGATGAACCAAATGGCGGCCATGTTGGTGTAACTAGCATAAATCTGCTGTGGTGTTGCTGACATTGTGGAAAACGTTCTTACATTTTCTAGTTATCGGTTGAAAAGGCTAAACATCTGAATAGAAAGTTATCAACAGGGCCTCTCTTCAGCCTTAAATTTGTCTGGGAATAACGATGACGTCACACTAAGATGGCTGCACTTTGTTCAATGTCCGGCACTAACGCAGCTAGGGTTTATATTCTCAGCTAAGCAATCTTGTATCAAATAATGTTAAGGACCTCCTTTGCTTTGAGGGCCCCTTTTAGCTCGCGGCCTGGGACAAAGGCCCCTGCCCCCTCTAGGCGGGCCTGTAGTCAGTTTCTCATCTTCAATCAGGCCTGGTTACAAAATATAACAGCGATCCCAAATATTATTCTGCAACCTGGACATCGGCATCAACTTTATGCCTGTATCCATTAGTACGCAGGCCAGGAAAACACTACAAGGAACAAACTATTACATAAATGAATGATCTATAACAATGTAGGTAGTGGCAATAATAAGAAATCTTTGGATTGATAGGGAAACAACTGCCTGAAAAATACAAGGAGAATGTCGACGTTTGTAGCGATGGCCTTTTGTTGGGAAGTTAGTAGTGACTAACGTCGAAGTTCTCCTTGATCCCTATCAATCCGAAGCTTTCTTATTACATAAATGTACGAGTGAACGTTATGTGTGTGTAATACTTGAGTTTAAATGTCTTTACACAACATTACATCACAACCGGTGTATTACAAGAATTGACAATAAGGTTTTAATCCTGATTTTTTCTGTGTTGGTGTAATGTACTCAGGTGGATATGATGCTTGTGATGTTACTCTGAGTGTATATCCACACCGGGCAAGCTTGAAAAACATGCCTGGCCACGGTAGGAATCGAACCTACGACCCCTGGAACCAGCCCAGTTGGCGTAGCGTTGGGCTGGTGTTGCAGGGTTCGATTTCCACCGTGGCCAGGCATGTTTTTCGGGTTTGCCTGGTGTGGATATATACTCAGAGTAACATCACAAGCATCAAGTTTTAATCCTCTTAAAAGTTATGATAATGATGATGATAATGATTTAATATACAGTGCCTGCACAAAGTGGCTCTTCGCCTGTAGATATGCTAAAAACTACATAGTCGAAAACTACAAGAACTCAACTGTAATTATATTTACATCAATGTTTATATTAAGCTAAAATTTTATAAAAATGATTTAACCGATTTACAAAAGACTCTATAGTCTTTAATATTTCTAACTTCTCGAGGAAGACTGCAATCTCGTTCCCAGAGTATGCCTGTTCGCGGGTTAGGTTCATGCCACAACCTAACCCGCGAACAGGCATACTCTGGGAACGAGATTGGGAAGACTGTTAAAAAGAGTTGCAGTAGCCTGCGTGCAGGCTCAAGGGAACTGATAGTGGGCCTGCAAGCAAGGCCCGGTATTTTGTAAAACGCCCCTTTTCATAACACGCCCCATTCACGCGTCAATTGTCAAAAATGAACCAATGACAGCACCCAAATATTAACAAACAAACTCGCATTAAATTGTTGCGGGGTTTTCTCTGCTTATTCAGAACATAAACAATGTGTAAATGGCTGCCTTTTAACTCCATAAAAAGCAAGCAACGCAGTCAGTAATTGCCAAATTTGCAAGTGCTCATTTTCAACTAAAATCGGAACAGGCAAATTAGGACGAATTTCAACAGAAAACCAGTCTCAAACTTCAAATCGTGAGGGAAGTCGTGCGACCACATTAGCATTTATAAAGGCCTGATTCCACGGGCGCTTTTTCTCGGCGAAATGCGAAATATTTCGCCTGTTTCTTTTGAATTGTGGGCAATCAAGTAGAAATAATTTATTCGAGTGGTCGCAATTCAAAAGAAACAGGCGAAATATTTCGCATTTCGCCGAGAAAAAGCGCCCGTGGAATCAGGCCTTTATGTGTGCTTCGCTGTCGCCATTGTTACACTGGCCTGTAGGCCAAGTGTCTTAAATCCCTCTTTTTCTGTTTTTTTCGTCGAGAAATGGAGTTTGCGTTAGCTCATCGCAGGCTCAGGGTGCAACATGCTCCAGTGACATATTCAGTTCAGTTTCAAAATGGCGGCTTTTCACTGAGCGATCTAATATATATTTCACACAGTTTCGTTGATTTTTTAAAGAATTGTGCCGGTTTCCTATGGATTTTACGTTGTGTCGCACTCTGGCCTTTCTTGCGTGTTGAATTAGTGTGTTTTTCTTTGTGTAACGACTCGAGAACGCCAAAATTTGGACCCAGCGAATTTATACAATATAGTGGAATATAAATAAGGACAAGTTAAAGGTTTGACAGTTTGACTTTTTAATTAACAAGTATAACTATACGTTGTAGGGTCATAAACATACGTTGTGCTCTTGTATTTATTTGCATAATTATAAATTTGCACCTAATTACATTAATTTGCGCCAAATTACTTTCTAATTCATCATATATTACTATAAAATGTAGCTATGTTTTCGATTGTATTCAGCGAGGTGGCGTTGCGTGCGGCGAAGTGAAACGTGATACGGTTCGATTTGTGTTTGGAACAAGATCCAACTTTGCCCCCACTTTTTTAATTCTCAAATTGTTTATCAGAAGTTTACTGGTTGGGGTTAGGGAAGGGCTTTGGGTTGGGATCAGTTTATCTTATAAAAGGAAGCAAATTGGCGTATTTTTTAGAAGAATCGTCTAAGTCTATGAACTTTTTAGCACCTGAAACTAGCCATATAACGGCATTAAAAATCAAGGACTATATAATCTCTTCGCTATTATTGGCCCGTCATTATTTACGGTTGATAGTTGATGATCATAGCTACAGTGGGCCTGGCTTGTCAGGTTGAGTTTCCCGTAGCCGGAGGGTACGTCTGAGCCGGCGTCTTGGTATATTATGGTTGATAGTTGCTGATCATGATTGTATTTATTGGTTGTATTTATATGATCCAGTATCCCTATGATCCTGTATCCCTATCTACTTCTCTACTACACATTACACCCAGTACCACGAAAGTTGCCATTTTCAGGCCAGTGTGATCGCCTGAGCAGGCGTCTTGTTATAAATAAATTGTCTCACTTATCAGATCGTGTGTGCAATTCTTGTTGGCGGCGGAAAGTACGAAATTTATTTCAGTTATTTCATTTGGTAAAGAACTCTACAAAAGAAGAGAGCATTCAGAGTCCAGATCGTTTCGTTTCAAACGGCAATTTAATACCGTCTTCTGTTTCGCTCTCTCAGCGAAGCCTTGTAAATCGCAAAGTGTTTCGAATAGGCTTACATGCAACTGCATCTCAACATCAACCAAAAGATCATTTTCTTGAGGAACATATAACGTATCAAGTCTGTTTGAAATTAATGAAACTCAAGTAAAGGTTACTATAGTTTACCTCAGTCGTAATGTTGCTATTCCAACACCTCACGACAAGCAATCCCCATTGGCATAACGGCAAAAACATCTCTTCCTTCAAGTAAACAATAAACAGTCTGTTCTTTGTAATCGAAAAAAGTGGTCAATTTTCGAATTTTAAGCTTACCTAATTATAGAATCCAACAGCAAACAGCCAATCAGAATGCCGCGTTCGTGGGCGAACGCGGAAAGCACAAAATACCGGGGCATGGTGGAAAACGCGGGTACGTTTTGTACGTTTTCTGTATTTTGCCAAACAATTTCAAGGCTAAAAGATCCTGGTAAAATCCGTTATGGATTTATGTTGTTAAAATGGCCGAACAATCTTTCTTCCTTCAAAGATAGTTTTAAAGTATGTATAATTCGAATAAAACAGTTTAATTGAAATACGCTTATTTTAGATATCTTTAGCACATCAATTTGTTGCATTATATTGTATTTTTTTCTAATTGCGCGGTTATTT